GCAGGAATGTATTGCATGTTTTGAGGCTTTTTGGTTTGTATTCTGTGAAAGCTTTAATTAAAAACCTCCTAAGAATTAAAGGGTAAGAGGAGAGCAGTCAAACAAACATGGATGAAAACTATTTGGGAGATGAGAATTTTGTTTGCTAACAGTTATGGATAGCAGATATGCCTTTATAATGAAAGGCACATCAAGAAAATGTGTGTAGAGGTGGATCTGTTGACAGTACCTGAAGACTTCAGTTGTTCACCACACTATTTTTAACTCCAGTTTAGCTCTTTTATGTTCCGCACATACCGCTTTTTAGCGTGTTGAAGTTTTCTAGGTCATCAGAATCTGTTGCTAAGCTGCCAGAGTCTCCTGAATAACTAGACTACTCAAGGAAGAGAATAGAGACATTGTAGTTGTACTCCTTGCTAGGCAAGTGTATTAATGGAAAGTTGTAAATAGACTTTCAGAGCTAAGATAAGCTTCTCCACTTCATCACAGAACAATGGCATTTTTGACTTGTTTGAGAGTCTTGTGTTCCCAAGCTAGGGTCAAGAACATACTGCGAGAGAGAGAGAACTTTGGGGAGAGTTCAGGTATAGAGAGCTGAAGGATGTCAAGAGGCAAAGAAAAGGTTAAAAAAATTTAGAATTGCTCTTCTAATTGAGGACTTGTCTCCCCACCACCAAATCAGGCACTTGAAGTATTTGTGACCTAAGTTCCTTTTGTGAAAGTATATTGATACCAGAAGTCTGTTCAGGTTCCCAAGCGCCTTCAAACTGACATCTGGCACCCTTAAAATACTTTCCAGAGCAAATTATTGAGTCACCAAGGGAGTCTTCAGTCTTCTCCCCTGAACTCTGCCAAAGTAGGTGCCAAAAATTATAAGCAAAGCAGAGTATCAAAGCAGAGTTTTACAGAACTTCTACAGAGATACGTCTGCCTACTGTCCCTCACAGGAATGAGACAGCCCAACTCACCTACCTCTGCTCTCTACTGTTGAGGGAACAGGGAGGATGTCCCTTCAGCAGGCAGGACCCAAAACTATGGCTTTTTACCTCATGGTCATCATGGTACATTTTGCTTAGCTCTGATGATGGCCATCCAGCATAGGCAGGGTGTGTGGTGCTGCATTCTCTGTGTTGTGCTTTGCTCAGAAATCACGCTGCCATGTGCCATCATAGCACACGAGCTCTCTCCCCAAGTACTTCAGAGCAGTCCTGCGTACAGCACGCTGTGGTGCTGCAGAGAGTCTGCAAACAGAGTCTTGGAAAATGCTGGAAGATCTGGATCGGAAAGGCCAGCATACAGCTACTAGTTGATAACAAGCGATAAACAGTTGGCTTTCACTTTTTCTAATTTAACAGCTAAATGTCAGCTTAATTGTCATGCATTGTAGGTAATGCCCTCGCACTCGAAAGACTGGGACTGCCTGTTATCTCATTCAGCTGCCTCCCAGCTCAAAGTTTCAGGCATTATCTGGATTGATTTCCAGCCAGCTTTCTCTGGTCTGTCTTAACTAGTCATAGGTGGAGATGCTGAACTTTCTGATCAGTTAGAGGAGAAATTATAATTGGATGTCACTGGCATGCTGAAAACACCTTCTAATGACTCCACTGAATATGAGAGGTTACAACATGACACACCACTCCACCCTGTTGAATTCTTCTAGGGAAAAACAAAGCACTAGCAGTAACTGACCATGTCTGACAAGGTTGACAAGGCAGAAGCTGTAATCGGCACTGACACCCAGTTTTTAAACTTCAGTGATTGTTGGCCTCTTTCTTGTATCTAAACCAAATTGTCAAGGTTCAAGGACATCAAAGGTTCACCGTAATTGCTTCACAAAAAGCAAGGATGCAATGTGTCTTAATCTATTTTGTCAGCACTGACAGTAATTTCTTCTATGTGAGTTTTATTAATATTTTCTTAAGTCACCCTTGACTTCTCTGAAAGGCACTGATACTCTTCCCAAGACAGGCTGTGTTCCCATTGACATTCACCAAAGGGAAGGGAAGTGAATGATGTATGTTACTTTTACAGTGGAATTGCCTTGGAGCAGTCACTGTGCTGTGGCAGTCCTTACTCATCATGTAGACTACACCAGCAAAAACTTGTTGCCCTGCAATTCGGAAGAGAACAAATATTCCATATTGCTATCATGGGAGCATATGTGAGTGTGGGGGAGGTAGTTTTGGTTTCCTATTACTACCACTCTTGTCCTTACTCAGTCTTCCTATAGCCTCAAGTCTGGTGAATCAGAAAACGCATACAGAGAAAAATGGGTGTAATTATATAGTAAATCAGACGAAAGAACCTTTCAGTGTAAAATATTTTTTTAAAAACATGTCTGTTCTAAACCATTTGTTGGTGAATGTCACCTGCTTTGAGGGCCGTCACTGCTACCGTAGATCAGTTCAGTTTGGATCTGTGGAGCGCTCTGGTCCAATCCAAGGCCCATGTAGACCAGGTGACTCGGGGCCTTGACAAGTCAAGCCTTCAGCATCTTCAGGGTTGGAATCGCCTTTTCTGGGCCCTTGGTTAGCATTTGATCACCCTCATGGTGAAAAAATTTCTCCAAATATCTAATCGAAATTTCCCTTGTTACATGTTGTGCCCATTAACTCTGGCCTCAGCGTACCTCCAGGAAGCCTGGCTCTGTCTTCCCTCTGCTCTTACATTAGATAAAGATGGTAATAAGATCCCCCTCTTCTTAAGACTGAACAGAGTTCCCTTGGCCTTGCCTTGTACATCCTTGTGCTCCAGCCCTGTGACAGTTTTGGCTACCTCTGCTGGACTTGATCCAGTCCGAGATATTTCTGGTACTCGAGGCCCAAAACTAGACTAAGCACTCCAGATGTGGTCTTACAGAGGATGAACAAGGAGAATAATCGCTTCCCTTGCCCTGCTGGCTACTCTCTTGCTAATGGAGCCTGGGTGCAATCGTCTTTGTTGCCACAAGGGCACGCTGCTGTCTCATTTTCCTGTCGTGATGTTTCTGTCATCTTGTTGAGGACCCTCTGGACAGCAGCCCTGCCCTCAAGCATGTCACCTGCTTTCCCTCACCTGCTATCATCTGCAAATTTACTGAACGTGCACTCTGTACTGCAGTCAAGGTCAGTAATAAAAATGTTAAACACTAAAAACCTCTGAGAAACACTTCTAGCAGCTAGTCACTGGTAGGACTTCATACCGGTCCTCAAAACACTTTAATCATGGTGGTCCAGCCAGTTTTCTACCCGCCCTTATTGCCCGCTTATTCAAACCATATCTCGCAAGTTTAGCTACGAGATAGTGTCAGAAGCCTTGCTAAAGTCAAAATAAACAACATCCACTGCAATTCTGTTCCCCACAAAGCTGGTTACATCTTCATAAAAGGCAGTCTTGAATTCTTCATCCCTATGCGTTTTGTATGCTTGTTCGGATATTCTCTTGAAAGCTTGAATGTTTTCTTATTAGTTTGATTTGAAGTTTGTACGTTAAACTTAAAATTGGAATAAATATCACATTCACGTAGCATTCTAATTTCACACATTTAGATTTTCCTTATGATATAGTATTCACAACACTATTGCACATAAAATTTTTCACATCAGGATCTTTCAAAAATTTAGCTTTGCCGAAAACTGATTATGCCACGTTGGCCATAGCCAGTCCTCTGAGGAGGCATGGTTTACTTCAACAGTAACTACTACGCTGATTTTTTTTTTTCGTATTGTAGAGTGCTTGTTCTTAGAAGAAAATATTAATTAAAAATGCAAAGGTACAGCAAAATTGAAGAAACTTAGAGATTTGTAGGCAATGTTTTGAATTTCTGCACACCTACTAAGGCATGTTTATATAGGTGAGTATGTCTTGGCTGTATTCCTGACTCTGATGCTGTGTAGGTATGAGTAGCTGTGCAGGCAAAATTCCACCGACTGAAAGAATTGCCTGTGTTTGCAAGTGCAGGGCTGTACAACACCAGCCCTGTGTCTTTTTCTGCCACTGTATTTTCATGAGCACTTCAGTTCAGCATAAGATTGGGAAAACCATGAGGTTTAAAATCATGCTTTTCTGCCAAATTTGAATTTAACCCTGTTCAGCATCCTGCTCTGTTTCACAGTGAGAGCCCACAGATGCGCTGCGCTTGCTCAAAGCGCAGGCGGTTCTGGGACAAGCCTGCTGCCTCCTGCATTAGCTTAGTGCGATTGTGTTGTGGCTGGATTAATGTATCCCCAGACGCATTATGTGTTCTCAATATACAGCATATAGATTGGGATAGTCTTAATCCAAGCTTGGTGTTTTACAGACTACGTTGACCTGGGCATTCTTGGTGAAGATTGTTTCTATAGCAAGTTTAAACTTTTAGAAGTTTTGATTTATTGTAGTGTTTAGATGTGTTCTGAAATTGTAGGAAGCGCTATTATTAAACAGTAGGATAGGATAAAGGGATATTACTCCAGCCTCCGGGAAATTCCCCTTTAGCAGAAATTAAGCCTGTAAAAATTTACCTAAAATGTTAGTCTTACGTGAAAATGAGTGGATAAAAACAATTGTTTTAGCAGTGATTCAAAGGTTTTGC